AGCATCTCTCAAGCTGTCATGTACTGCATGCATGTTGACACTGGTTGTGCATGTCGAACCAGGATTAACCCGGAATGTTAAAGACAGGCTAGCAGTGCCGTCGTCTGTTTGTGGGGTCGCGCGATGGTTGTTTTGGTGAAGATTTCCGTGGTGAGTTGGTGGCCGTGACTTGGTGGCTGAAGCGGGTTTGGTGCTTGAACCTTGGTGGCTGAAGCCTAGTTGCTGTTGCGAGCGTAGTTGGTGTTGCGGGTGTTAATGCCCTCGTTATTCATGACTTTCAGACGAATACCCTGAAAACAAGATGACACCAGTTCTTCGACACTTTCCTCTGATCAAGCGGCTGCAACGCACTGCAAGGCCCCCGCCGCAACATTGTTGCGTCTTATTGCTCACCACGGCTTTAGCTTATGACCATACAGGACAGCTGCAGGCAAGGCAGGCGCTTGCTAAGTAGGAGCAATGTGGACAAGGAGCCAACTTGATTTCAGTCAACGTGCACCGCACTTCTTGGAATTCGGGGCAGCTTGCCTCGTGTAAGGACTCTCGATGAGGTTCCATGAGCCGCTGCCACACAACACGACGCTGAATGATCCCGGACAGGAAGCACCTGCAATGCCAGAAAGAAGGATGTGCAGGGTCTGAAGGTGATTGCTCACTGCCTTTGCTTTTGCAACTCCCGCGATGCTCTGCGAATGTCTCGCATTTGCTGCTGATGCTGCAGCTCTTGTTCCCGCAGAGCCTGGAGAAAGCCAGCTGTTATCATGAGAACGCTACCAGGACTAGCATCAGGCCTCCCGATCCTTCTGCAGCTCAGCCTCCATCTGACAAACCTGCAAGGCCAATAGCAGCAAAATGTAGCCTTCCTATGCAGCTCCGGATGACCTGCTGAGAATCTACCTCCACTTCCTTCTGAGCCTCTTCTAAACGCTTCTGCTTGCCTCGGAACAGCGAGCTGAGGCTCAACCCTTCAAGCCAGAAGACCGGACGCCTTCAAGGCGTCCCAGTTGCTTCTCAAATTTTGACCTGCAGTCATGCCTCTTCATGCCTCTAGACTGGCTTGACCTTAAGAAATACCCAGATGCCCACCGTATGCAAGAGATGCGGATGTCGCACGAGTCAATGACCTGAACGCAACAAGAATGGTCGCTACCTCACTGCCGAACGATGGTCTGTGGGTGCTTTTGCAGCTCTGACTTAACAAGTCCTGCTTTGTTTAAGCCAGTCTCCTTCCATCTTGCAGACGCTTGCAGTCCAAAAGCAGGCTACAAAGAACATCTCAGCGGAGCAGCCTGCCCACAGGCTCCCATCTTTAACAGGACATCTCATCTATGCTTCCCTGACACCAACTCCGTAGAGACAAATCAAATCCATTACGCAGAGTAGAACAACTTCCAAGTTTCCTCACCTGGCTCTTGGCCACGTTTCTGGTATTTGTCTTTGCATGAATTTTGCGGCATGCACCGCTCAAACTGCAAATCAAGTGCTTGGTAAAGTGGATTGCAAGCGTTATGCAGCATCATCTTGCAAAGGTGCCAAGCACCTGTGCAAGCAGGCCTCGGTCAACGTCTTGCGCTGTTCCAGCTTTTGAGCCAAGCGCCTGCAGCACTTTTCGAGCAAAGACATGCATTTTCAACATGGCGCACAATACGACGCCTCTCCAGCTCCTGGATTTCTTCATCAAGCGCTGCTCGTTCCTTTGCTGCCCTGTCTCTTTCCTGTTGCAGGCGAGTCAGCGAGTCAGCAAGTCGGCAAGTCGAGACACTTTTCAAGCTGGCAAAACATCTCATTGTCTGGGGCCGGACAGCCGCGTCTTCCGTTGTCTGCTGGTCAATGGCTTCTGTAACCTTAGAGCTGCTGGCGAGAAAGAACCTCTGGTCTTTTCAAGTCCCGCATTGCAGGTTTACAATGCCTGCCTGCTGCCACTCTTCTTTCAAGTTTTGAGAGTCCTGCAGAAGCCAAGGCATGCTCAAGGACCTAGGCCCCTCGGACCGACATGGCCTGGATGAAGTTTCCGTGCACATGGCAAACGCCAGTCTTTGTGCAGGAAGGGGATCTACAACACCAATGACCTCTCGGAATGCCTCATGCACCTCCACGATATATCATGCGGGGCCATCCATATCTTGCGAAACTGGCCTCTTGTCAAGCTGTATTTAGCCAAAACAAAATGCCTCGCCGCTCCAAACATGACATTGTGCCAATGTCCTTCTCAATGTGGGACTGCGCCAAATCCATTCGCTTTCTGCCCGAGCAACACATACTACTTTTGCAGTAGCAACTTGTGCAGCACATTAGTGCTAGTCATTCAGTGCGCAGCTCAGGATCATGACACCTAGCTGGTGTGGAGGCATGCTTCACATAGCAGCCCCGCCTTTCAGCTTCAATACGGGCCTGCATGAAGCTTTGGAGGAAGAACGCTCATGCATGCTAGTAGCCCTGATAACAACACGTGCCTCCTCTGCTTGAAGATGACGCAAGCAGCGTTCCTCTGTGACTTTGAAGCCCTGCCAACTCGGACGATTTCCATGTGAAGCCATCTTTATCTATCGCAGCACGCACGACATCTGGCCTCAATGCCTTCCCCGCGAAGAGCCTGAAGTTTGGTCAACATCCAACCGCGTGCAGAGGATCAATTGCCATCTGGACGTTCTGCGCCTCTGTGCGATCCAGAGCTTCACTGGCTACAGACACTCGGTCCCTGGCATGACGCATGTCATTCTCTGAGTGCTAAGTTTTGAAGGCAATTCGAAGCCTGGTAAGGTTCAATAAGCTTTCCGCAAAAGTCACCATCTTTTTGGCCCCCGCGGCTACCTGGCAGGTGAGGGAACTGCAATTCACTAAAGCTGTTGCCTGTTGTGCTAGGTTTTGCGTTAGGGTGCAAGCATAATGCAGTACACATTGCTCGCTCACGCCATGTTGCTTCGCTCTCTGTACACTTTTTGCTGCATGCATGTACGAACCTTGCCAAACAAATCCTTTTTCTGTTTTGCATTTTGTTGCCCCGACCCCCACTGTTCTCCACTTCCCAGGTCCAACTCATCCCAACGATTTTCTGCAACATCGAGCCTGTCGCTTTGAGCCTATTTTGGCGATAAAACGCATGGAACAAGGAAAGCTTCCTGCAACGAGGGAGCAACGTAAAACCACCCTGGGCACTTCTTGGCATGCTGTCCAACGACTCTTTGACGTGCTTTCTGATGAACACAGCCGTCTTGTGCAAATCCTCGAAACTGATAAAACTGCAATACCCCATCGGTAGAAGGGGTCGCTTGTGACTTCTCCCGGGAGTTGCTTGTGACTTCTCAATTTGGCTCGCTTGTGACTTCTCACAATTTGTTGTCGCGAAATGAAGAACTGTAATCGTTTTCGGAGCTGTGTTCCTCGCCTTACCGTAAGTTGGGTCGCTTGTGCTTCTCGCATTTTGTCATGCGAAATGCAGAACTGTCATCGTTTTCAGAGCTGTGATTCTTTGACCCTTGACAGTTGCGCCACGTGTGCGCCTCGTTAAATGCAGAACTGTCCTCCTTTCCAGAGCTGTGATTCCTCAACTCTTGACAGTTGCGTGCCTGTTCTCCTCATAAACATGCAAAAAATGTCGTCGTCTTTTTTCGGCGGTGTCATTCTCCGACCCTGACAGTAGCATGCTTGTGCTTCTCGTAAAAGGCAGAACTGTCGTCTTTTTTGGCACTTTGATTCCTCAACTCTTGAGAGTCGCTTGCATGCTCTCCTCATAAACCGTGTCATCATCGGTTCCCCCACCACTCCTCCTCCCATACTCCCCCAAGGTTCCTTCAATCAAGTCACCTAACGATGATCAGGGCTTAATTTTGAGCAAACTTAAGAGGGGTAGCATGACAGAAGTGTGCATGCATTTCCGCGCTCTCCGAAGATGATTACACGGAGACCGTCCAAAAGTATGGAATGCTTCAACTACATCCACATGCAGGAAGTACCACGCTTGCCATCATTTTCAGTACTCGCATCGAGTTCAACGCTGATTGAACGAAGTGCATACCAAAGCAGTACTACCAAACCCCACCATTGTAACTGAACCCATCAATTAAACCCCAAACCTGCTGAAGAAGAGTGAGATGCGCGGCTCCTTCCACCTACTTCTTTATGGATTGCCCTGCTGCTCCCATCTATTGTGGTGGAGACTGAAAATCCTGCATGCCCGTGGCCAGTTTTCAGGAAAATATTAATGTAGTTATTTCCCGGAAAAACGCGCTCTGCCTGCAACACCTAAAGCACAAACCTTGACCCTAAATCGTTGAAGCCTTGGCTTCCAACCTTAAAATCTGCATGCATTTGACTTAAACCGTGAACCTAACCCCCCCCGAAAAAATCACAGTCAGTGCCAGTTTCAAGGCAAAATTTGCAACGTGGAACGTTACGGAGCCCCTATTTTTACAGTGTTTTTTGGCGCTTTTAAGTTTAAGACTTTTTACATGCTTTTCCAAGGAAGAAGATCTCTGGGGACACCCAGATCATGACTTACCTCCATTCCCTTGAGAGAGGGACAGAAAGAGAAAGTGGGAGGACTTTCCGTGGCGCCTTCCATACACATAGTGTGGAAGATTCTTCTGACAGAAAAGGAGTGGGAAAGGACTCTGTTCCAGTCCTTCCAAAGAACAAAGGAAATTATTCTCCTGGGCTCTTTCCGCAGAAAAAGTGGAGGGACTCTCCAGCATTCGCTCGAAAGTTGGGGCAGAATGGTCTGCTCTGAGGACCGCTTTAAGCGGCGCGAAACGCGAGGCGCAAGGCGTGAGGGACGGGGCATGACGGGGCAGAAGCGCCAAGCGAGGTGCGAGGCTGCGCGGTGCGAGGCGCGAAGCGCAAAGCATGCAGCCTTCCGATTTTTGTGAGTTCTGCAAGCAAAGGATACCGCAGAGTATTATAGCAGTAGTCGTAGTAGTAGCAGCAGTAGTAGTAGTAGTAATAATAATACTGGAAGTAGTCGTGGAAGTCGAAGTCCTCGTCGTCGTCGTCGTCGTCCTCCTCCTCGTCGTCCTCCTCGTCGTCCTCGTCGTCCTCGTCGTCCTCGTCGTCGTCGTCGTCCTCGTCGTCGTCCTCGTCGTCGTCGTC